AATTTCCTATGATTCAACGGTAGTTACCCTATCATATCCTTTTATGTTCGTTTTCTTTTTTTAAATGAAAAATAGCAACTAAATCTGTTTTTTCAGTTTGATTCAGTTTTAGTTCAGATTTCATTTTCTAACAAAATTATCGAAGTTAATTATGTTTCTTTCTTCTTACTCTAATTATTCAGCCGGCGAACCCCAATACTTTTTTCGGTTACCTTACATAATATATAGTCTTTTGGTTTATGAAAATATAAATAAATTCTCTTGCTTTCCTCTTTAAATTGATCTTGGTATGTTTGTAACCAAATATATCTTTATTTTGAAAAGTTATCAAAATTTATGCTACATTACAGTTTTTATAAGTATTTTTTTCATTTGGATCTTAATTGAACTAGTTTGTCGTTAAAGTTCGATCTATTCTAATAAGACAGTTGGAAAGTCTTTTTCCTCTCTTCCCATGTTATATTAATAGATAAGATCAATCACAGGTTTAAGTTAATTATACTTAAATAATGAAATTTCTTATATAGCTGTGTATAATTAAATTACTATTATCACTATATAATCAAAAGGTGAGAAAGGAAAAACTTGGAGGCAGAATCGCAGCTCTTCATCAGCTAGTATCTCCCTTTGGCAAGGTATAATTACTGATTAATTCCTTTTGATAGTCACTTAATAAAGTAAGATATAGTCTAATATTTTAGATTAAACTGAAATTTAAAATTAGCCATGAAATACCTGTAATTTATTGGTAAATTGATTCTCTTTTTTTTTTTCANNNTGACACTGCCTCTGTCTTGTCGGAGGCTATTGGATACATTAGATTCCTCCACAGTCAAATTGAGGTGACTTGTCTTTTCCAAACTACCATGCTTCTTATTTCATTTATTTCAAGAAAAAATATTTATTCCAATCTTCCCTCAAAATCATTCGGATTATTTGGATTTATTCGGATTGGCATGAGATTTTTTGAAAATTCTGGTTAATATTAGATGTTAAAAAGTACAAAAGGAAAGCATCAAGTTGATATCCGTAAATAGTTTTTGTTGTCTCTAGAGTATTAATTATTGACACAACTATTTTCTCAATAATTTTTTTTTGTTAATTTCAGGCTCTAAGTCTACCATACTTTGGTGTTCCCTCGAGGAATAATATGATACACCAACTTGTAAGCAGTAAAATCCATATACATTATACACCTTAACTACATGTCTTTCGGTAACTTTAAACATCATATAAGTAAGTTACTTGGTTTGGTTAACTATAATTAAAAGCTACGTAAATGTATATAGGCACAAGGAGGTATGAACTGTTTATTTCCTGAGGATCCTGGTCAGGTACGCACATATTTATGTTTTTACTTTTATTGGATCAATTAAATCCAAATCTTAAAAACAAATTTGGCAGCTTTAATTAGTTCTAAAAATTACACTTTTTTCTCTTTACTATTGTTCTCTTAAAAGTGAAAAGACTAAGATAAAGTATGGTCAATAAAATAGAAAATATGACATTACAAACTTTCCTTTTCAGTCCTCACATTATTCTATAAACTTTCATTAAAACAAAAAAGCCACCTTGTTGAAGATAAAAGAGCCCACTTAAATGTTTTGTTTTGTTTCATTTTCCTTCATCAAAGTATGAAGTATCTTTGGTCATAAAACTTCTTTTAACAAATGATATGAAATAACTTTTCCAACCAGAATATCGCGATTAAGAAAATTGTGTGAGTATGAGATTAGTTGTGACCTACATTTTTAGAATTTTTTGTCACAAATCCAATCGCTATTCAAGTTATGATTTTAATTCTGTTTTGAATTGAGAGAGATCTTAGATTCATGTACTTGAGATATTTGTTCACGTTTTTTTACAAAAACTCTTATGCACTCGAATTTAAGCATCCTACGGTAAGTAGTTTACATAATACTCATAATATACTAACATTTCAATATTTTTGTGATCAGCTTGTGAATGAGTATTGCATGAAAAGATCAAAAGGAGCTTCATTATCTTCATCTACAAACAATCAAGAATCAAACCCTAACGAAGAACCAGAGAAAGATTTGAGAAGTAGAGGATTGTGTCTAGTCCCCATCTCATGCACACTCCAAGTTGGCAACGACAATGGTGCCGACTATTGGACTCCGGCGTTCTGAGATCACTCCATTCACTTAATATTATGCTATTTGGATTTTGGTTGGTCTAAGAAATATGATAGAAGAAAACTAGTAATGTTATAACATCATGAGCAAACAATGTATTGAGAAACAACAAAATGAGTTTCCAAGATTGATTGCTCATGATGCTATACAGTGATAAGTTTTAAACTCGAAGATTGTATTTGGCGTTTAACCTTTATTTTGAAGATTTGCAGTGAATTATGTTTTTTTCTACTAAGTTAGCACACTTTTTTTTTATCATCTCTAATGTATGTAATAACTAATAACTCAATGATGGTTGCATTTTCAATTTTAGTATTAACATCTTCTACATTGTACGTACATTTGTTAAAAGGAGAAGAGACTCGCGCACATGCAAATCAACGAGGTTTGGCAAATCTAGTCTACATCCTCACATTTCACTTCATTAACACTTAACCTTACATTCCATTTAGTCAGGTTGACTCGACACCATGCGAAAAACCTTTGTCACGACATTGATCAGTTCTTATATTTCTACCCAAACAGACAAAACAACACGTTTCCAACCGAGAAATGAAGTTCTCTTTGATCACCCAGGGACGACACTGGAAGGAGCAAGATGAAACATAGGCTTTTGGTTTCCAAAATTTAAAGAGTCAATATACACTTATAATTGGCCTCCAAATTGTTGAAAACTTTTATTAAAATTTCTATTAAATTGTCTATAGTTCTATAAATCTTAGGACCGACCTTGTAGAAAACCGAACTCTAAGCTTTACTTATTTTTAGTCGGTTTACTTTACCTAGTCAAGTGATTCACCAAAATAATACAGCTTTTGAAGCAATCTTCTGTAAATAAGTAAAACTTCCTTTTTGAGGATGTTCCCATTGGAAAGTCTTTTGAACTCCAAACGCTTCATGTACATTCTTCATATTCCACTGCATCAGCGTTCCAACTCCAAATGTTTTATGCAATTTTTTTTTGTACCACTGCACCAGCAATTTGTGTTCTAGCATCACTTAAGTATCAACGCATGGGTCATCTACAACTATGCACTATAGGTAGGGGAAATTTATGTCCCGTCCCAATCCTGATCTTAAATTTATGTTCCACATGGTAATGACATCCTAGTTAAAACAACCCGACATTTTTTTTTAAAACAATTAACATTGGACTCGAATTANCATTCCCATAAATACTAACTCTCAACGCACAATCAACATGAGCATTCACTCAACAATAACCAGTGGAAATAAACCCAATTAAACCAACAAATCATTCCACAAATCCCATAATTCATTGAATCAACANAACCAATTCAACTCGATTCATAAATCAACTTATCAATTCTAAGTT